TCAACCTTGGCCAACTTTCATCCATCAAAGGACTCAGTTCCAAAACTCAAACTTCAAACAACCACGCCAAGTACAAATCGGTCAAGGGTTCCAACAACAACAACCCGACATCTAGTGACCACCTTTGTGAGCACGAGCTCTCAGAAGTTCGCAAAGATTGAGCAATTTATGGATGTGGAGACTACCAAGTTTACCTCGGTTGAGGCGGGACTTCGACGTCATCAAGCAAGCCTTCAGATGTTGGAGGTGAAAACTGGCAATCTTGCCGAGATCCTCACCGAGAGACCGAGGGGAGCCCTACCTTCATAAACCATTGCAAAACCCAAAGACCAAAATGTCGGGTTGAATGTGATGCAATTGAGAAGCAGGAAGGTTACTTCGAGAGTTATTGCCAAAGAAATGAACGAGAAGGAAGACCCTCTTCCCTAGGATGGAGATGAAGAACCTTCGGGAGAAAAGAAATGAGTGGCGAGGAAGGCATCGCCAACGCCACCTCCGGTGGCTGAGTACACACCACCCCTTCCTTTTCCCACGAGGCTGTATAAGGAAAGACTGGAAGCGGAATGTGGAGGTGTTCCCTTTTTTTCCCCACGGTATGAAAAATACCTCAAGGGGCTTCTCACTAAGAAGCCGAAATTCCCAAGAAGCAACCCGATCTAGGTAGTTTCACCATACCTTTTTGCATCGATACCCATCACATAGAAAATTTCTTGGCAGACTTAGGAGTAAGCATTAATGTGATGCCTTTTAAGCTTTTCACGAGGCTAGACATAGGTGAACTAAAGACTGCTAGGCTTAGTATGGCTAATCGCTCTATCATTAGTCGTAGGGGTTGACACGCTACGACACAACACTAAACTGCGACCAAGTGTAATCGCAGTCCGGGAATGCAGCAAAGTGGCAAGTTCTAAATATCAACCCGGGGTCTAAATCTATTGCCTACTCCGTGAGTATCTATTATCTAGCAAACTAAGTCGATTGGTTTTTGTCATAACTAAAAGCAGTAAGAAAGCAGGAATTGGTTCGGTTTTCTGAAGCAAGGAAGAGTCACTCGGGAATGAGTCCCCCTAGCTCCTTAGTTAGGTCTCAGTTGTAATTACCATGGGTTGATTTACTATTGATTAAACTGCGGAAGGTCCGACAGTAGCTTGGAATCTCTTAAGCTGACCAAGCCCTCTCAGTCTAACTACCCGGCAGACGACTAGTCTTCACTAGGATAGAAAGCTGAAGCAATAAGCATAGAACTCCACTACTGGAATTGGATTCCAGTACAAAGCAGTAGACTGACTAACTCCCGTATAGCCAATCTACTACTACCGAATGAAGAAGCTCTCACAACCTAATCAGATTCTATCTATCTTAGGTTGCAGCAGAAATCAAGAAAAGCTGATCAGACTTCAATCAATTCAATGAATCATGCATCATTCGATTAAAACCAAACAGTATAATCATCCCAAGTCATTACAATCAAGATTCCTAACACATGGAACTAGGGTTCTTCATACCCAAGTGAGAGAAGGGTTCTACTCCATAGAGAGAGAGGGGAAAACAGAATACAAAGCAGTCATACTCATCAAGATGGGAAGAATCTGATCTAGGATCATGATTTTCACTCCTATGATGATCTCCAAGCTCGGTTTGATGAAACCCAGCTCCAAGATCGCTTCTAGGATGTGTTCTTCGCCCTTTCTCTCTCTAGGGCTCTTTTTTTGCTCTGAAAAGTCGATCCCCTCACTTGTGGCTCGAAAGTGGATTAAAACCAGAATTCCCGACTCACACGGGCAGGCCACACAGCCGTGTGGCTTACCCAGCTGCCCGTGTGAGAGTCAAAACGCGGAGTTTCGATTAATTGGACTTCAGGCTACCTACACGGCCAGGGACACACGGCCGTGTGGAATCTCAAGCATGCCCGTGTGAAGCCTCGCTAAATCCGACATGGCCACATTGGTTCCTCACACGGCCGTGTGGGTTTTAGGAGTGCTCGTGTGGCTTCCTCAGCGACTCGCTACACGTCCGATCTTCGTCCAATCGACCCCGAACTCGCTCCCAAACCTTCATTCACGTACTAGGACCTAAAATATCACAAACAAGCACAACCTAGCGTGAAATCTGTCTAAAACACGAGAATCAACATCTCAAACGGCTCAAGAATGGGGGTAAAAACATGTACAATTAACGGTCTATCAAACTCCCCCACACTTAACCGTTTGCTTGTCCCCAAGCAAACCAAGTCAGACACAAGGTTAGCTCACATATTTCAATCATACCAACATTGGGGACAAATCATATAGGCACAGAACACGTGAATCATACTGGCTTTCAAACATCAACACATGAACAACTTCAATAGCAACCTGGACAACCACCACAGAAGACATTTGAGTGCAGCAAGATCGAGTAAAGGAGGAGTCTCCCTTCTGTTCATCAACCAACATAGACTTGACTCAACCACTTACTCAAAACAGTCACCTCATGCATAAAACTCAAGAGATTAGAATCAAGACCGAGTCATCTAGGTCCTCACCGGGGTAAAGAGTGTAAAGAACAAGGAAATGAATTGCTCACTCTCGACCAGTGTGGTCAGGACAATTTGTTGCGAAAAGTGCGCATACTTATTCTCTCAATCCCTAACATCTCTTCACCATGACGGAAGCCTCTAAATGTTAGAGTTCACATAAATGGGTGTCATCACTAACCAATCCGGAGGTCTTAGACACAGGTTCAAATGACTGGCTAGGGTCATGGACATGGGGAAAAGGCCTTTTAGGTGGTGTAAGTATTCATAGCACAAGGTTCCACATTTCCAAACCCAACAAACTCGCAGTCAATCAAACCAACAACTTTCTTTATGCTATTCTACATTACTCAAATTCTTCAGAGCACAAGAGCGAAGGAGGTCACATAAATGTTAGTATCTCTAAACCTGACTGCTAAGAAACACTACTTAATGGGCACCATTTAGATTTTTGGTGGTGGCTCTCTTTTGCTTTCATTTTTTTTCTTTGTTTTTCTTTCATTTTTTTTCATTTCTTAAGAGAACCACCACCTCTGCACATTTTTCAAACACCTGCCCAACTTTTTAAGAACTACCTCCAACTCTCACATTATATTTAGCAGAAACAGCAGAGAACATGCAAAAAACCACTCTGTGGAACCTTCTAAGAGATGAAAAAGGGCGATTTTTCATTGCAGACCGAAAGAAAGGATAACACACGGCTCAAAGGGGCTGAGTAGGGGGTATGACACACCAGGACAGTCAATTTGGTCGTGGGCTAATCCTATGCCTCCATCATCTTAGCTAATGACAACGTGAATACTACACATCATGGAAGAGGGAACTATCACACAAGAAAGAAACGAGCAGGCTCAAATCTCACATGGCTACCTATATGCTCTATCTCTCATTCTGAACCCCTGAACTAGATGCATAAACGACTGTCAAGAAAAAGTGATCCATCCAAGTCACAGTTTGTAAGTAAAAAGTTGAAAAACTGAACCCCTCCACAACTCTACTGCACGTCTCAGTCATCATTATAGGTTGTCCTAGTCACCATCCAGTTGTCATGATTAATCCGAAAACCATTCAATTCACCAATCAAAACACAGTGTCAATATGATCAAACAGCTGTACTTGGAGCCCTCAAATCTCGAGATTTGGACAGTGGACTAGGCTCCAAGCACACGTATATAGATTCCTACCAATAAAAACACCCCCCCCCCCACACACACACACACTTAAGCATGAAATTGCCCTCAATGGAGCATAGGGAGAGATAAGGGGAACGATGTTACCGGATTGAAATACTGCGTGAGACTGGAAGTGGACCAGTCAGCGGGGGACACACTAGCACATTGTGCGTTAGGGATCAGAGTTGGCCCAGATGGCCACACAAAAGACAATCCACAAAAGGAAAGAAATAAAACACACGACAGACTAAGTTCAAGCTCCGCACACACATGGAGCAAACACGAAAAGTCTAAAAGAAAAACACACTCAGAGGGGCGACGAGTACAGCTTACTCGTCGCCAAGGTTGTCCAGATCGATGTCGTTCATGAAGGCATCATCATCATCAGCTGGTGGAGGTGGAAGTGGAGAGTCCTCCCAAGGAGTCCTCCAGACTGGCTGCTCGCCCGGTAGCAGCTGGAGCAGGTTCCCCTGGACCTCCTACATGCGCCGAGATCGGGCCTGCTCCCTCTCGATGCGAGCCAGGGTCACCCCCTGCTGGGTCTCCATCCGATCAAGACGCTCATCATAAGCAGCCATCCGGGTGTGGTACACGGCATGGTGAGCCGAATACTGCTGCTGGAACTGGAGCTGATGGTCGAAGAGCTGCTGATTCTGGAGACGCAGCTGCTCGAACTGGTGAGTGAAGTAGTCCTGGCCTGGGAAAGTGGAACTGCTACCCCCGTACTTGAAGGTGGTGGGGCGGGGGCACTAGGTGGAACTGCTACCCCCGTACTCGAAGGTGGTGGGTCGGGGGCACTAGCGTCATCCCCATCCTCGGGGTGGACATCCTCATCAGCCGCATCCTCAGGAACCTCCGGCTGGTCCTCCGCTGGGATCTGAGGTTGAGGAAACCCATCGATCCACTTGACTCCTGGCTCTTCTCGAAGCAGGTGCATGCGATGGATCGTATATTCCCCAAAGACACTGGTGTCCCCCTTCTCTGTGCACCCCTGCAGTGATATCTGGAAGTAGGTGGCCAGGCGGGTGATGGGGGAGTGCAGTGGAGGCTCTTCAGCTCTGAAGCACTATTGTCGAAGGTTCTTGCCACCACAGAACCCAAGTGGAGAAGATGATCCCCCTGGCGCATGGACTGGATGAAATACATGGCTCTCCTGGTGATGGCGATGGCACTAACCGCAGCTGGAGTGTAGGACTTTGACACCAAGTGGTGGAGAATGCGGTTGTCGAGCTGCAAGGTGTTGGCCTTCGTCTGCCCCGCCACGAAGGGACGCTGGCCTGGCTGAGCGAGGCGGGTGTACAGTGTCTTGAAGTTCACCCCCTCTGGCTTGGTGAGCTCGTGACGTAGTCCCTATCATCGGCCAGGCTGAGGCCGAGGGCGGTCGCCAAGTCGTGGTAGCTCAGGAAGCGGGGTGCACCGCCGAGCCTGAACTGGACGGCTTCACCGTCTGCCCAATCCTCCGTCTCTTCGTGCTTGAAGGTCATATAGAACTCAAGCACGAGCTCGTGGTAAACCTTCTCGCAAATGCATAGTAGACGGCGCCAGGGGCGGTTGGTGACAATGGCGGAGAAGTGCTCGTAGCAGTGCAGCTTCTCAAACTCCCGCCTGGACCAGCAATGATGTTGCCCAAACGAGCAGGCCAGGACGCTCTTAAAAAGATCCTGGTGGGGGCCCCTCTTCAAATCGCGAATAAACGGGTGCTTGAGGTCGGGTTTCGTCATGGTCCTACAAAAGAACCACCCAAAGTGGAACCAAAAGAGCCAAGGAAAAGGTTAATCACACCCCCACACTTGAGAACAAAAATCAGCCAAACCATGGTTTCATCCATAGTTCGGGAGTCAAAAACTCGATCAAACAAGCATAATCTGGGTGGGGGTGTATATCCATGATAAAGTAGGCAACTTAAGGTTCACATTCATAGAAAGTACACCCTCAAAGCACATCATTAAGGGCCCCAACCGGCGCCCACAACATGGCATGAAAAACAGGCATTTCATCGAACACCTTGTGTGCACTATTGAGTTAAGCATAGAAGTGACAAATTTCTTGCACACAAGGGCTCAAACAAGCATGGGGACATAGCCCAACACAATTCACACAAAAACCAAGCCATCCCCTCAATCAAATGCACACAATTCACATGATTCAAAGTTGTTCTCTAAACATACACCCTAAAACCCAATTGTCCATAAATCACAAGGTTAAGGTCAAAATCAAACCTGGAGACACAAGTAGAGGTGTAGGGTATGATGAGGGGAAGGCAATGGAAGCGACGAAAATCTCAAAATCTGCCCGGAAATTGCTCGTCGGAGCCTCGCCGGAGTCTCGCCGGAAATCGCCTCCGGCGACTCAAAATCTGTCCAAATCACCTCAAAGTCGAGGGATAGGCCAAAAATGGGGAGAAAAGGATGGGTGTGGAGGTGGCTTGGTGAAAAACCGAACAAAAATGGCCGAAAATTGCAAAAGAGGGTGAAAGGTCGCGATTTTCCGGCGAGGGCGTTTGAATTTTCTGACCACGCGGCCGTGTCGGCCGATTTTTAAAGGCTGGGCTCGGCCACACGGGCATGCTCACACGGCCGTGTGAGGTGCAAAAGTGCCTGTGTGGGCCGACACGGTCAGGCCGAGGATTTCCACACGGCCGTGTGAAAAGCAAAACTGGCCGTGTGGAAATTGTCGAGGCTTCAAACGGGGAGGGGGGCAATCCACACGGCCGTGTGAGGGACCCCTCTTGCCCGTGTGAAATTCCCAGGGCCTCCACACGGCCAAAACCCATTTCCACACGGCCGTGTCTGGCCGTGTGGGCCGCCAGAACTCCGAATTTGACCTGTTTTCACTCAAAATCGACATACGACCCTTGGACAACATCTCAAGACTCAAAAACACAAAAAGGAAAAAGGAAAAAGGGTAAGAAAATGCAAACCTAGGTGGGGTTGCCTCCCCACAAGCGCTTCTTTACCGTCTTTTAGCTGGACGCCAGTAGGTGGATGCTAGAGAAGTGTAGGAGCAGGTGCCTTCAAGAGCGGATCCACATCGCTCTTGAGGTACAGCTTCAGGTGGTGGCCATGCACATGGCGGGTGTGCCTACCAGCACTCGAATACTCGGATGGCCAAGGTGGTCGAGGTTCAAGGGGCGGGACCAGCTCATAGTGGTCTCCGGCTTTCTTTTGCGCAGGCTTAGCTGCCTGCAGTTTCGGCCGCCACTCCTCCTTGATCTGTTCTTTTGGTCACGGAGTGGACGGGAGTGGCGGCGAAGGTATGGGAGGGGGATCCTGCAAAATGGGAAGCACATAAGGATACACGACAAACTCGTGCTCCTGGTGAGAAATAGCATGCAAAGGTGATGAAGCAGGGAGAGTATTAGCAATTGAAAACATTATTCGCTCCTCGCCATCCCTCAAAACTAAGGTCCCATCATGCACATCTATGAGAACCTTGGCGGTGGCCAGGAAAGGCCTTCCCAGTATAAGGGGCACTTCTATGTCCTCATTGATGTCCAAGACAACAATCCACAGGATAAAGGAATTTGCCAACCTTAACTAGAAGGTCTTCCACTATGCCCCTAGGATGAACTATAGATCGGTCAGCTAATTGAAGACTCGTCCTAGTTGCCCGGGGTTCACCTAGTCCTAGTTTCTTGAACAATTGATATGGCATGACATTGATACTAGCACCTAGATCCGCCAAGGACCTCTCTACATGTAACTTACCTATAGAGCACGGGATAGTAAAACTACCTGGGTCCTTCTGCTTCAGCGGAAGCTTGTTCTGTAGAATGGCCGAGCACTCCTCGCTGAGCTCCACAGTGGCCAGCTCGCTCAGCTTCTGCTTCTTTGAGAGAAGATCTTTCAGGAACTTCGCATACTTAGGCATTTGAGATAGTGCCTCCAGGAAAGGTACTTGGACATTCAGCTTCCTAAGCATGGACATGAAGTTCCCGAACTCTACCTCTAGCCTGTCTTTGTGCAACCGAGTAGGGAAGGGGAGTTGAGGGATATACTCCTTCACTACTGGTTGCGGTTTAGGCGCAGGCACCTCAACCTCCTGCTCCGCTTCTTCTTCAACCGCTGGAGATGCCGAAGCAGGGGCCTCTCTCTCTTGTGCCCGAACAGGTGGATCAGCAGTCATCTTGCCACTCCTGGTTGTGATGGCATTGCAGTAGACATTCGGGTCCTTCGGATTAGGAATGGTATGACCTGGCAAGGTACTTGGAGCCCTTTGCGCCACTCCTTGAGCCACGCTCCCCGGCTGGGTTTGGATATCATGCAGGACAGCCTGTGTGTTCCTCTGGCCAGCTTCAAGAGCCAGGAATTTACCCGAGCCCTTTTCCATGAACTGCTCGATAGTGTTGAATTTCTGAGCACTAGAACTGGCGAGAGAACCCACCAAGTCCCGCAATTCAGCCATCGGATCATTCTGCACTAGGGTTGCAGGGGCTGCACCTGGCTGCTGGAAAGGTCGCGGCTGTGATTGAGCAGCATGCCCCTTCATGGGCTGGTAGAGAGACTCCTGCTGGAATTGCCCCTGTCTGGGCTGATATGGCGGCCTCTAGAAGCCAGGAGGTCCTTGGGAGGCCGGTGGTCTAGGACTGGCCCCAGCCCAGGAGAAGTTGGGATGCTGGCGCCACCCCTCGTTGTACGTGTTACTGTAGGGGTCATTTCGCCTAGCATTATTGATGAAGTTCACCTGCTCCTGGGGTGTGGTCGACTCCCTCATCGCTTGGCAGTCTTCCACCGTGTGATGGGTGCTCTCGCACCACTGGCAGAGCATCGCCTGCTGCTGTCCGGTACCTGCAATCATCCCGGAACGATCAATGGCTGAAACCAGCTTCGATACCACCTGCACCAAATCGGATGACTGGGTGGATACAACATGCACACCCCGTCCTGGTGCTCGTCTCGATCTCCTCGCAATTCCCCAATCATAGCCTTGCTCTGCCATCTCCTCAAAAAGTTGATTCAGCTGGGGCGGTGTTTTGGTGAGCATATTCCCGCCACAGACCGAATCAATCAACTACTTGTCCTCCGGGAAGAGGGCATGGTAGAAGGGTCCCACCTTGAAGGCGTCAGTAAAACCATGGTTGGGACACTTGAGGAAGTGACTGGTGTATCTCTCCCAAGCATCCCGGATGGTCTCGTCTTCATCCTGAGCAAAATGGGTAATTTGCTTCTGCAGGTCCGCCGTCTTGGACGGAGGATGGTAGCGGGTGAGGAACTTATCCGCCAGGTTGGCGAACGTGGTGATCGAGTCTGGAGGTCGAGTGTCTATCCACTCCTTGGCCTGCCCCTCCAGAGTAAACGGGAAGTACCTCAGCTGGATGGCATCGGCTGGGACCCCATTTATCTTGATTCCATCGATGAGCTCGTGGAATCGCCTCAGATGTGATCGGGGACACTCCCCCTCTTTGCCATGGAACACCACCGAACCGCCCAGCATTGTGATGGCAGAGGTGCTCACCTCAAAGTTACTTGCTGGCACATGAGGGTGTTGAATGGGCGACCTCATGTCCGCGCCCCTGGTGGTCCAGTAGTATCCCATGGTGTGTTCCTCAGGAAGGACCACATCATGGTCCTGTGGATCACCCATCTCTTCAAGCTCCCGGTCTAATGGTAGTAGATCTCCCGACTGGCTACGGGTCATGCACTACCTGCACACAATCAGCAGAAGCAACCCGTGAAGGCAAACAGGTGGAAGAGATAAAACGCAATAAAGAAAAAGCTAGAGTAACAAACTTTCACGTTTCTCCAATAACCTAGAAGTTTCCCCGGCAACGGCGCCAAAAACTTGACACGCTACGACACAACACCAAACTGCGACCAAGTGTAATCGCAGTCTGGGAATGCAGTAAAGTGGCAAGTTCTAAATATCAACCCGGGGTCTAAATCTACTGCCGTCTCCGTGAGTATCTATTATCTAGCAAACTAAGTCGATTGGTTTTTTTCTTAACTAAAAGCAGTAAGAAAGCAGGAATTGGTTCAGTTTTCTGAAGCAAGGAAGAGTCACTCGGGAATGAGTCCCCCTAGCTCCTTAGTTAGGTCTCAGTTGTAATTACCCTGGGTTGATTTACTGTTGATTAAACTGCGAAAGATCGACAGTAGTTTGGAATCTCTTAAGCTGACCAAGCCCTCTCAGTCTAACTACCCGGCAGACGACTAGTCTTCACCAGGATAGAAAGCTGAAGCAATAAGCATAGAACTCCACTACTAGAATTGGATTCCAGTACAAAGCAGTAGACTGACTAACTCTCGTATAGCCAATCTACTACTATCGAATGAAGAAGCTCTCACAACCTAATCAGATTCTATCTATCTCAGGTTGCAGCAGAAATCAAGAAAAGCTGATCAGACTTCAATCAATTCAATGAATCATGCATCATTCGATTAAAACCAAGCAGTATAATCATCCCAAGTCATTACAATCAATATCCCTAACACATGGAACTAGGGTTCTTCATACCCAAGTGAGAGAAGGGTTCTACTCCATAGAGAGAGAGGGGAAAACAGAATACAAAGCAGTCATACTCATCAAGATGGGAAGAATCTGCTCTGGGATCATGATTTTCACTCCTATGATGATCTCCAAGCTCGATTTGATGAAACCCAGCTCCAAGATCACTTCTAGGATGTGTTCTTCGCCCTTTCTCTCTTTAGGGCCGTGTGGCCTGCCCGCGTGAGTCGGAAATTCTGGTTTTAATCCAATTTCGAGCCACAAGTGAGGGGATCTGTAACATCCCGTTCCGGCAAAACCCATATTTCGATCGCTAGAAAGTTCGCGATTTAAAATCGAGCATTTCGACACTATTTCAGCGAAAATCGGATTATCGATCGATCGAATAAGTATACGTATTAATTATATATATATATATATATATATTATATATTCATTAAGCGGCCGGCATATATATTAATTCTCCCCACACACACTCGTCCATTATCATCTTCTTCTTCCGTAACATTATTCCTGGACGAGAAACCAAGCGCGCACAGGGCACTCGGATAGAAATAGCAAAGCTTGATTTATGAGCTCTAACTATCCAAAAATCCCGTAAGTAATGCCTAATTCATCTATTCATCGTGATTTATCGATTTAGAGCTTTAAAACGAGTTTTTGGTTCAGGAATTTCTTGAATTCCCGATAAGCCAAATTAGGGTTTCGGAGTATCCAAAAGCCGGATTGAGCCCAAAATTCATATACGAGCTTCTTGCAGCGAGGTAATCAATCCTCTAGTTCTAATTCATGAATTTCGGCTATTATTTAGGCCAGGGTCCAAACCGCTGAATTTAGATCCGGCCAGGGTTTGATGTGTTTTTATCAAGAATTTGACCCGGCGCCTAGAACTAATATTGACGGGGATATTGCAGGGGACATTAGGACGGTCTCGGATTTTAATTCGGGGTTCGTTCGTGAAATTGACGTTTTAGTACGGGAGGCTAGAACCGGTGTTTGAATGACCAAAACTGGTGAGGGATTAGCACGGCATACCGGGTTTGTCGTATCATGATAATTATATTGATGCTTAGAATTGATCTAGGTGAACTAGAATGGCATGATTAGGGGTGTATGAGCTTTTGTGCTATATGTTGAACCCTGGATTGCTGTATGATATTATTGACTTTCCCTAATCGATATGAACCTTGTTTATGCTGATGATTTTGTATATGTTGCAAATTGTGGGCTTGATTGTTAATATGCTTTACGATGGTTCGAGAAGGTGATTAGGTATGATTTTTCATGATTGTTGTATTTGGATGCACAAGTGGGAAAATATATATTCCCTAGTGATATTATGATGTTTAAGGAGGATGACTTGCACGAGGGTTTATCCCGAGGAAGTGCAATTATATGACTCCTGATTTACCTATGTTGAGCCAATTGTGGCCTGGTCAAGTACATGTGCAAGTAACGAATTATGATTAAGCAAGATGAGATATGAATCATGTATAAGGATACCAAATATGAGTGTTGTGGTCTCACGGTCAACTACATAGTAATTAGGGCTCCCTATGCTATTACTCTATTATGATATGTATGATAGTCACACCTCTCATGTGGTGGTGACTGAAGAATTCTTACGAGATATGACCACACCCAGAGTGGTGTCGGGGTATGACTACACCCATAGTGGTGTGGGGTATGTATGACCACATCCGACGGGATGTGGGGTATGTTTCCCGGGAGAGTTATTAGCATGGGAGTAGCCAGGCGCCTATAAGTAAAACATGATAAGATGCATATGCATAAGTCAAGGTGGTTGAGTATTTTGCATATTGGGATGACGGAGGGCTGAGATCTGATCCCAGTGCTTTGGCTTGTTTGCTAGATGTATGATAGGGGTATGCTCTGTTATGAACTCACGATGCTATGATTATCTCACTCAGCTATGAGCTGACCCTCTTTTATTCTTCTTCTCTACTTATACTATGTGTAAGCAGATCATCAGCAGGAGCAGTAGATAAGTGTTAGGTGGGAGAGGAGCTAGAGTTGAAGACCATACCTCATCTTGGCTTCAACTCTAGCTCCTCTCCCACCTAACACTTATCTACTGCTGCTGCTGATGATCTGCTTACACATAGTATAAGCAGAGAAGAAGAATAAAAGAGGGTCAGCTCATAGCTGAGTGAGATAATCATAGCATCATGAGTTCATAACAGAGCATACCCCTATCATACATCTAGCAAACAAGCCAAATCACTGGGATCAGATCTCAGCCCTCCGTCATCCCAATAGGCAAAAGACTCAACCACCTTGACTTATGCATATGCATCTTATCATGTTTTACTTATAGGCGCCTAGCTACTCCCATGCTAATAACTCTCCCGGGAAACATACCCCACATCCCGTCGGATGTAGTCATACATACCCCCACATCCCGTCGGATGTGGTCATACATACCCCACACCACTATGGGTGTAGTCATACCCCGACACCACTCTGGGTGTGGTCATATCTCGTAAGAATTCTTCAGTCACCACCACATGAGAGGTGTGACTATCATACATATCATAATAGAGTAATAGCATAGGGAGCCCTAATTACTATGTAGTTGACCGTGAGACCACAACACTCATATTTGGTATCCTTATACATGATTCATATCTCATCTTGCTTAATCATAATTCGTTACTTGCACATGTACTTGACCAGGCCACAATTGGCTCAACATAGGTAAATCAGGAGTCATATAATTGCACTTCCTCGGGATAAACCCTCGTGCAAGTCATCCTCCTTAAACATCATAATATCACTAGGGAATATATATTTTCCCACTTGTGCATCCAAATACAACAATCATGAAAAATCATACCTAATCACCTTCTCGAACCATCGTAAAGCATATTAACAATCAAGCCCACAATTTGCAACATATACAAAATCATCAGCATAAACAAGGTTTATATCGATTAGGGCAAGTCAATAATATCATACAGCAATCCAGGGTTCAACATATAGCACAAAAGCTCATACACCCCTAATCATGCCATTCTAGTTCACCTAGATCAATTTTAAGCATCAATATAATTATCATGATACGACAAACCCGGTATGCCGTGCTAATCCCTCACCAGTTTTGGTCGTTCAAACACCGGTTCTAGCCTCCGTACTAAAACGTCAATTTCACGAACGAACCCCGAATTAAAATCCGAGACCGTCCTAATATCCTCTGCAGTATCCCCGTCAATATTAGTTCTAGGCGCCGGGTCAAATTCTTGATAAAAACACATCAAACCCTGGCCGGATCTAAATTCAGCTGTTTGGACCCCGGCCTAAATAATAGCCGAAATTCATGAATTAGAACTAGATGATTGATTACCTCGCTGCAAGAAGCTCGTATATGAATTTTGGGCTCAATCCGGCTTTCGGATACTCCGAAACCCTAATTTGGCTTATCGGGAATTCAAGAAATTCCTGAACCAAAAACTCGTTTTAAAGCTCTAAATCGATAAATCACGATGAATAGATGAATGAGGCATTACTTACGGGATTTTTGGATAGTTAGAGCTCATAAATCAAGCTTCGCTATTTCTATCCGAGTGCCCTGTGGGCGCTTGGTTTCTCGTCCAGGAATAATGTTACGGAAGAAGAAGATGATAATGGACGAGTGTGTGTGGGGAGAATTAATATATATGCCGGCCGCTTAATTAATATATAATATATATATATATATATAATTAATACATATACTTATCCGATTGATCGATAATCCGATTTTCGCTGAAATAGTGTCGAAATGCTCGATTTTAAATCGCGAACTTCTAGCGATCGAAATATGGGTTTTGCCGGAACGGGATGTTACAGGATCGACTTTTCAGAGCAAAAAGAGAGCCCTAGAGAGAGAAAGGGCGAAGAAGTGTGTGGCTTACCCAGCTTCCCGTGTGAGAGTCAAAATGCGGAGTTTCGATTAATTGGACTTCAGGCTATCTACACGGCGGTGTGGAATCTCCAGCATGCCCGTGTGAAGCCTCGCTAAATCCCACACGACCACATTGGTTCCTTACACGGCCGTGTGGGTTTTAGGAGTGCTCGTGTGGCTTCCTCAGTGACTCGCTACACGTCCGATCTTTGTCCAATCGACCCCGAACTCGCTCCCAAACCTTCATTCACGTACTAGGATTTGAAATATCACAAACAAGCACAACCTA